TGGTTAAAAATGATGAGCGAAAAAGCCACAAAATTCAAAGAACTGTTTAGACGGAGCCAAAATTCAGTAGAGATAGTTGTGATTGGGAAAGCTCTCAGCACCCCCATGCCCCCCTCCCAACGCCACACTTCATTTTAAAAGCAGGTTACGCGTCAACCTCGTGCACTACCTCAGGCTCCGTCCCCACCAGAGATGTGACACGCCTCGTCCCTTCGCTAGAATCTGTGGCGAGGGATTGGTCCACCAGAGACCTCGCTCCTGGCTGCCGCCCAGCACACATTGCACCCAACCCCTACGGCACCTACTGTGGGTGGAGGGCTCATGTAACTTTTTCAGGTTGCGCCCAGCCGTGGACTAAGGGCCGACCACCACCTACTTCATCGCTGACAAGAGAAATATTTCACTTTATATTTTTCAGAAAACATCAATTTCTCCTCCTCCTTAATGTAAAGCATTAAAGTCTTCCTCGTTTAAGACATCTGACGTACACCCTGAAGATTCTTGTTTGTTTGCAAACAAAATTAATATTAGTATTTGCCTGTGGCATCTCTCTGTCTCATACACACACACACACACACACACACTGAATGATGCTTGTGCTGTTTATAGTCTGTGGTTGTGGTTTAATGTTTGTTTCTGCTATGAAGGCACGTGTCTGACAGTTCACCACAACCAAACCAGAACTCAAATTCTCCATCAGTCGTCTTTGTGAAACCCACAGAACCACAGGAAAACATCTGAGAGCAAAAGTTTATTAATCCTGCAGAGAAACGGCTGTAGGAACAAAAGACGAGGTGTTGGAGGGACCAGTTAGAGACCAGCAGCTGGACTTCAGTGGTTGGACTGGTGGACTACTTCAGCGAAGAGTAGACGACGTCTGGCTCTGGTTTAAAGTCTGAACACAAACACACACAGTTCAAACAACAGGAAACAGGATTACAAGCTTTGTAGTTCAATCCAGACCTCCAATCTCCACCTCTCTGCATCACACACAGTCCCAGTTCAGACTTTACTGGGAACCAGCTCAGATACAAATCAGAGCTTCCATACTGCTCACACTTTAACTGTATGTTGAAATCTCATGAGGTGTGGTTCAGAGTTCAGAGAGCTTTGCCTGCACTGGTGCTTTAATTAGAAAATCGATTGAATTTTCTATAAACGATTCTATAAATATAACATCCAGAGGTGGTCTGTTGGGTTTAGGTCAGGTGAGCAATGTGGGCCAGTCAGTGGTATCAGTTCCTTCATTCTCTTAGATTTAGTGTTGCCACATGAGGCCTGGCATTGTCGTGCATCAGGAGGAACCACTGCACCAGAGTACGGTCTGTTAACAGGTCGAGGATTTCATTCTGAATCCTGTTGTTGCCAAGCCTGTAGAGGTCTGTGCTTCCCTCCATGGTTATGGGTCAGTTACCATTACTGACCCATCACTAAACTAGTCATACTGAATTATTTTAAAGGCAGCATAAAGTTCTCCACGTCTCGTTAGACCTGTGGTCAGACTGAACCTGCTCTCAAGCCGGGTGGCAGAGGTGGACCTGCCAATTGTAGTATCAGAATCAGAAAGCCAAATGCAAAACTAGTGAAACATGAGAAGGGAAACATGTCACTAACCTCCAGCTGTAAAATCATTCCTGTTTTGAGGGTTTGTCTCATTGTTGTCTCTAAAATGCACCTGTTGAGATGAAACTGCACCTTGCTCTTCACAGATTCTGTGTATACTGTTACTCCTCTTTCAAGATAAAGTAAAGCTTGTCATTTTTTCTCCTACTCTCATGGCAGATTATCTTAGCTTAGCATGATGGCTGTAAACAGGGTGAGCAGCGAGCTCATCTCTGTCCACAGTCAAAGATAAAGAGCAGCTGTACCTGGGCCTCCTTGTTCTGATGGTTGTTTGTCCATAACGGACGTCTTCAGTTCTCACTGCTGAGTAGATCACAGCTGAATCAGTCTCTGTACAATAAACACATTAAAATTACTGCAACAGTGCTGTGATATTATTACACTACAGCGATGGAGACATTTCATTCTGTTCTTTTAAG